GGAGTGATTTTCATGAGTTACGTATTTGTACACCAACCTGGTGAAGACAGCTGTTGTTATCTCCCTTGTGTATATGTGGAAACAGGAGCCTTAGGAGGTGAAGGGAGTGTGCTCATTGGGTCAGAGTGGCAGAGCCAGTACAGTAACTCTAATGGTCTTAGGGTGCAGAATCCACTGCTTTACTCATCATATTCTTTTTGAAAAGACAGAATTCTCAAGCTGATCCTATTAGTTTTCAGAGAAAACTTAAAGACTAAAATATATTCCTCAACCTATTTCCGAGATTTTTGAGTAATTGAAACTCGAAAAAATTTTCAATTCAGCATATTATCAAGCAAAACTCAAACACACTGCTGTTCCACCTATTAGGTTCCAGCTAATAGTGAATGCTTCTCTCAGGTTTACAAAAGTGTACATTTTTATAGGAGGAAACTGTCCCCCTATCTCCCTTGGATCTGCTGCTGGTGAATTTGAACCATTATAGATGCTCACTCAGTCTTTGGTGTAGCAGCACAACTTGCTATGGACTATGCGCCCATTAACAAGCTATGGATAGTATCTGTACCTCCTCTGAGACTTCAAGGTGTATTTAAAACTATGATGTAGATTAAATAGCTAATTGCTTAGCTGGCTGGCCCCATTATTAAGTACCAGAATTTAAGCATTATAAAAATGAGTACAGTCAGTACCATTAAGGCAAACCAAACTCGTATTTGGAGACATAGAAAAACAACACAGCAAAAATATGACTTAATGACCCACTTTCACTTCTGCATATATCCCTGTTCAAGAGGCCTCTGTGCGGATTGGATTAGAAACTCATGTCTTAATATTTTTCTTTTTCAGTCAGAGAACTCAAAGAAATGTACTTGTGCATGGTGGTTATGCAATTGCATACAATTCAGGGGTTTCATGAATTAAAAAAATTCTTTAGGGGTTTCTACACTACAATTTGAACCCTTGAATTTCCTGTTCTCTAATTTTCACTCCTCAATCAAATATACTGATACAGGGACTGCTGCAGGGGGATCTAGTATGTCAGGAAGTGTGAGGATGATACAGGGCTCAGATCTGTTGTTCATACGGTTGTTGTAGGTCATACTCAGACTGATGGCATCTAACAGTAACATGACAACAATTTTCATTTCACTTTAGCAAAGTGGCAAAATTTTGTAATTGACTTGTGGAAGACATTGGTAGCTACAGCTTTATGGTACACTGTGTGGTGAGGTTTTGGTAGATTGACACTCTACCAGTTACTTTTGCCCAATGTCCTGGACCTGCAGCAAACAGGTAATATTGATGCCATTAGAATTCATAAAGAAGTGAGTGTGGAACTGGGAGGAATGCAGGGGGACTTTGCCTTCTATGTAAGGACAGAAGAATGTGGAAATGTGACTCTTGAGTGAAATAAGAGAGCATGCACTCTGTAGGTAAATTAAGCTGATAGGTGTGCATGATTGCTTGAGTGCTTCTTCGAGAAGCATGTGTTCTTAAGAGGCTAAGGGTAGGTGAGGCTTAGAACTATTGAGAGTTAAACTACTTCTTCATATGTGAGTCATAGAACCAGACAGTGAGCATCAGTGAAGGGAGATGGACTTGGGAATCAATACTGAGGAAGACCCCAAATGAGATGGATTGACACAGTAACTGGGGTAATAGAAGTAGGTGTGTTGGGATCAGTGATACTGGCTTAGGACAGGGCAGGCTTCAGAGCAGCTGTACAGAGGGTCACTATGAGTCACAGGTGGCCCATAACAACAACAACAACAACAAGAACCACCAAAGGAGAAGTGATGCTTAAATATTTGGAAAATTGGAGATGTTCTCAGGACCTATATTTTCCAAAAGGTTAGGCAAACAGTAAAGAAAGCCTTTTTGCTGAAGGAAACAGTCATGTTGTAAATCCAGCTTCTAATCAGTCTGAAAATACAGTCACATCAGAATTGATTAATTACAGCTATACTTGACCAAGATGGATGTCAGATGAGACTCTGAATATTGCATCAGAGTGCCAAGAAGCCAGAGCTAAAGGAGGAAATCAAGAAATTAAAGAGCTAAACCTATATGCAGAACAGATTATCCAGGAGGCTGGGCCCTATGAGGAGAAATGTGGGGTCAAGATTGGGGGACGATTTATCAACAATCTGCGTTATGCAGATGACACAACCCTGCTTGCTGAAACTGAAGAGGACCTGAAGCACCTGCTACAGAGGGTCAAGGACTGCAGCCTCCAATATGGATTGAGGCTCAATGTCAAGAAGACAAAGATTCTCACCACTAGACCAATTGGGAGCATCAGGATGGATGTTGAAGAGATTGAGATTGTACACAACTTTAATTTGCTCCACAGTCAACACTCTTGGCACCAGTAGCCAGGAAATTAAAAGGCGCATTGCCATGGGAAAGTCTGCTGTTAGGGACCTTTCCAGAGTACTGAAGAGCAATGGTGTCTCCCTGGAGACTAAGGTGTGTTTGATACAGGCCATGGTCTTCACAATCACTTGTTATGCATCAGAGAGTTGGACAATGACTAAGGAGGATAGAAGGAGAATTGATGCCTTTGAGCTGTGGTGCTGGAGAAGAGTATTGAGAATACCATGGACTGCTAGGAAAACAAACAGATTTGTCCTGGAAAGGGTTAAACCGGGTGGCTCCTTGGAGGCAAGGATTCTGAGGCTCCATCTAACATACTTTGGACATGTTGTGAGGAGAGACTGGTCCTTGGAGAAGGACATCATGCTTGGGAGGGTGGAGAGACGGCACAGGAGGGGAAGGCCCTCTATGACGTGGATTGATTCAGTGACTGGGGTAATCAGGATGGGAGTGTCAGAGACAGTGCGATTGGCACAGGACAGAGCAGAATTTAGGGCTGTTGTACATAGGGTCGCTATGAGTCGCAAATGACTCTACGACACATAACAACAACAACAACAACAAACAGAAATTGAAAGGGGAACTTGGGACAACAAAGCAAAATACTATAATGAAATGTGCAAAAAGCTGGAGGCAAAAAATCAAAAGGGCTGAACTCACTCAGTGTTTCTTAAGCTGAAGGAGTTGAAAAACAAATTCAAACCATGAGTGGCAATATTTAAGGATGCTTTGGGTAGAATGTTAAATGCACCAAAAAGTGTTAAAGAAGAGTATACAAAGGAAGGAAGGAGTATACAAAATTACTGTACCAGAAGAAATTGGCTGACACAGAAGAATGTCACGAAATAATGAATGAGCAAGAGCCTATGGTGATGAAGGAGGAAGTTCAAGTTGCTCTGAAAGAATTGGCAAAAAACAAGGCTCCAGGAGTTGATGGCATACCAATTGACATATTTCAACAAACAGAAGCTGCCCTGCTTGTGCTCACTAAGTTGTGCCAAGAAATCTGGAGGACAGCCAGCTGGCCAGCTGATTGGAAGAGATCTTTGGTATTTGTTTTAATTCCAAAGAAAGGTGAATCGACAGAGTGTGAAAATTATTGAACAGTATAATTAATATCAAATGCAAGCAAGATTCTGCTGTAAATTATCAAAAAACGACTAGAGCAACACATCAACAGAGAACTGTCAGGTGTGCAGGCTGGATTTAGAAGAGGTCATGGTACTAGGGATATTATAGCTAATGTTAGATGGATCTTGGCACAAAGCGGAGAGTACCAGAAGAATGTCTATCTGTGCTTTATTGACTATGCAAAGACTTTTGACTGTGTGGATCACAACAAGCTGTGGCTGACTCAGAAGAATGGGATCCCCCAGAACATTTGATTGTGCTTATGCAAAACCTTTACTTGGACCAAGAGGCAGTCGTTAGAACAGAGCAAGGAAACACTGCATTGTTCAAAGTTGGGAAGGAGGTTCGTGACAAATGTATTCTGTCTCCATACCTTTTCAATCTGTATGCAGAACAGATCATCCGGGACGCTGGACTGTATGAGGAGGAATATGGGGTCAGGATTTGTGGAAGATTCATCAACAACCTGCATTATGCAGATAACCCAGCTTGCTGAAACTGAGGAGGACCTGAGCACATCCTACAGAAGGTCAAGGACTGCAGCCTTCAATATGGATTGAAGTTCAACATCAAGAAAACAAAGATTTTCACTACTGGGCCAGTTGGCAGCATCAGTATGGATGGTGAAGAGATTGAGATAGTTTAACAGTTTTAGTTTGCTTGGCTCCACAGTCAACACTCTTGGTACCAGCCCCCAGGAAATCAGGATATGAATTGCACTGGGAAAATCAGCTGTCAGAGACCTCTCCAGAGTACTGAAGAGCAAAGATGTCAGGCTGGAGACTAAGGTGTACCTGATCTGGGATATAGTCTTCACAATTGTGTGCTGTGCATCAGAGAGCTGGACAGTGAATATGGATGACAGAAAGATAAATGATGCTTTTGAGGTGTGGGGCTGGAGAAGAGTGTTTAGAATACCATAGACTGTTATGAAAACAAACAGGTTTGTCCTACAGAGGGTGAAGCCGGGCTGCTTCTTGGAGTCAAGGATTCTGAAGCTTTGTTTGTCTTACTTTGGGCTTGTTGCTAGGAGGGACCAGTCCTTGGAGAGGGACATCATGTTTGGGAGAGTGGAGGGACGGTGCAGGAGAGGAAAATCCTCAATGAGATGGATCTACTCAGTGATTGGGGTAGTGGAAGTAGGTGTGTCAGAGACAGTGAGGTTGGTACAGGTTAAAGCAGGGTATATGGCTCTTGTACATAGGGTTGCTATGAGTCACAAATGACTCGACGGCACTCTTTCTTCCCATTTTATAAGAGTGTTATAAGAATAAGTGTGTCCAGAGACCTTGATAATTCTACATCTATTATCTTTCTTCTTCTTGCAGGAGTTCTGAATAATGACTTAGGGCTGTAAGAATTCTATTTCTTCAAGAGTAATTTGATTTTTTTTTAATGTTGTGCTTTCTGCATTTTTCAAGTAATTCATGAAACTCCTATTTTGTGTGTGCTCAGCAAATCATTGACCTGTTTTGTTCTCTTGCTTTTGCCAGATAGAAGAATTCCGAAGACTGAGGACACATGTGAAAGGAGCTGAGCTGGTGGAAGGCTGTGATGGGATTTTGGGGGACAACTTCCGACCCACTCAGCCGCTTAGTGACAGAGTCATCAGAGCTGCCTTCCAGTAGTCAAAAAGACTGGAGCACGTCCTTGTTCATCCGGGTATGTGCAAATGGAGTAAGGAAAATGAGGCCCACAGTTAAACCAATCCATTATGCGAATGTTATTCTCCTAGTGATTATGATAATTTAGCAATAGAATGAATGCATTTCATTTTGATAAAACTTAATGACATTCTCAAGCTCCATCAATTTTAAGTCGGGTGGTTATTTTAATTTCATGCATTGATGAAAAAAAGGGCAATCCTTATATTTTCCTACGAGCACAGCCTTTATTGCTGAGTTTTGCTTTAGTAATAATTGATAAAGGCTCCTCAGGAAGGGCACCCTGAGGCAGGGGAACAGACACCTGTCCAGTGTGTGCTGTGAGCACCTCTGTGCTGCAGCACCCACTTCTGATTACTGTGGAATCAGATGAGGAGAGGGGGAGTTCAGATAATTGACACTTATTGTTTGTGTAGATGGAGGCCGGTAGGGACATCGATTATAATCAAACAGTTATTAATTATTTGACTATAGTCTTTTTATTGATTAAAAAATGCATGCATTCTAATATACTATATTCAATATATGTATTTATTACTCTCACATAACTTAAAACTGACCCTTTGCAGGCATGGGAAAGATAAAGCTGCACCTAAGTGACGGTTGTCATGTGCCACCAAGTCAGACTGACTCGTAGCTGACCTTCCAACAGCTTTTCAGAGGCTGAAAATCACACAGGCAGAGAATTCCCATCTTTCTCTTTCAAGCAGCTGGTGGATTTGAATTGCATGCCTTTGGGTAGGCAACACAACACTTTTACTACTAGGCCACCAGAGCTCTCTCTAGATGGGCCTATTTCTCTACATTGTGCATAGCCTAAGTATGCCTAGATCAGTGCTTGTGGCTGCAAAGCACTGCTTCCCATGGAGGAAGGCATGCACTGACATGGTTTCCTAGGTGAGCAGGACAGCGCTTTGATGCTCTGCTGGACCATTGTGATGGTGGACTCTGTACCAGGTGTGCTGCTGTGGACTGGGACTTTACAAATAGAGATTTTTTTAGCCTCAGGGAGCTCCCAGTTCTATCAGGAAGACAATTAAAAGATAGACAATTGACAAGGATTGATTCAGTGACTGGGATAATTGGGATGGGAGTGTCAGAGACAGTGCGATTGGCACAGGACAGAGCGGAGTTTAGGGCTGTTGTACATAGGGTCGCTATGAGTCGCAGGCGACTCGACGGCACATAACAACAACAAGAACAAGTCCTTTGTTCACACGTTTTCCAAAAACCTACTGTCATGCCTTGCTTTGATGACTAGACTGTATGTACTCTGTAGGAGCCCTGGTAACATCGTGCAGTAAGGATTGGGCAGCAAATGTAAAGGGGATATAGATATATGGAGAGAGAGAGTGAGTTTGAATTCACTGGCTACACTGTGGGAGAATGATAGACAATCTCCCTCCATGAAGATTTACAACCTTGGAAACACACTGTGACAGTTTGGGATTGACTCCATGGCAGGGGGCTTGGGGTTTTGGTGCTTAGTGCTCTAACCATTCTCTGTCAAAGTGCTTGGTGTTTCTTGCCTTTGCTCCACAGCCCTTTTCACCAGAAGCCTCTGCTTCTCCCTAAATCATACTTCCCTCTTGTTTCACATGTTTTCTTCCATTTAGATACTTGGGTATTTATTCTTTTCTCTATTAGGTGGCAAGCTCAAGAGTTAGAATGTGCTTATCTTTGTTTGAATCCATCATAATAGGCAACATTTTGTTTTTATGACTGTCTTTATACATTTACATTTAAAGCTCCTTGAAACATTGCATGCTCTGTATCAATCAGCCTCATTTCTATCATCCACTAGTTGCTAGGTCAGCTATATGATTTGATGGAGGTCAAATCACCTTAGTAGGAATGTGAAGAAATTTTCAGTGATTCATATATGCTAATAGTAAAGAAACTCCTATGATGCTTTAAATCTTGTTTGAGTACTTTATGTGATGGAGGCTATGTATATGGAGGTGAGGAGAACAGATGATGTGGTTTCTGCCTTCATATAGCTTATGGTATGAGGTATGGAGCTGACAGTGGAAATGAACAATTACTTAGAAATGAACAATTACAAAATGTAATAAGTTCCATGCATGAGCAAAACCAGTAAATCTATACAAGAGCTTTTCAATAGAAAGACTCTTTTTTGTAAAAATTCTGAAGTGATACTGTCTGTGGAGGGAGGTAAGAATTGGAGATAGTAGATCTCAGTGGCCTTGCCAGTCATCCTAAGAAATCTTTATTTCATAATTTTGCTCTGAGAGTCTATGAAGGTATTTATTCATGGGAGTACTTTGTTTCAATGTTTTCCAGAGATAATCTTGATTGAGGAAAGGTACAGGGGAAAATTACAAAGTGAGTGGATGCTAGAAAATAAACCACTGAACAACAAATAAAAACAAGCACAGACAGAGATCGTAGAACTCTTGATGGCAACTGAAGTGTTGGAGAGTTGGGAAGAATCCAGAAGCAGGGGAGAGGATGAACAGAGATGGTATAGGAGCTTAAAGAATCCATCTGTGACATCTGGGGCACGCATGAATCCCAGCCATTTTGATGTGGCATTGAACAGGGAACACAACTAAACTGAGGAAGCTATAGCCTTATTTTACAAGGTGGCACAAACGGCCGTGAGAGTCTACAGATTGTGACTCTAAAGGGGATGAAAGAAGATCAAGGGGTGTGGGAGGATGTTGATGAATTTCACTGACATCCAGGAAGGATAAGCACTATGAGTCAGGAGGAACTACAGGGTATCAGGTTGAGGAGAATAGACAGACAACACAGACGGAAACAGCTGTCCACAGTAAGACTCCATGGGATAGCCTGTGCAGTGAACTCATGAGGGAAGGACACAGAAGCCCACATCTGTCATAGGAAAGCCATGCTCCACGGCTTACATGGAACTCACTAAAACACCATCACACACCAAAATTCCAGCCACCAGGCTCCAGAACTCCTGATGTCTTAGTGGAAAAAAGTAAGGATAAGAGTGCCCTCTGGTGGTAATGAGGAGAAGATACCAAACCCACTGCTGTTGGGTGGATTCTTACTCAGTTACAATGGCAGCAGTTTAAATCCACAAGCTACTTTGGGGGAGAAGGATGGGCAGTCTCCTCCCATTTGTTTTACTGCCTCTGAAATGTCACTGGAAGATCAGCTACGAACCAGTACAGACTCAGAGGTTCTAGCAGTAGGTCAGAGTGGAACTACCTTATAAGTTCTGGGGCTGTGGGTCTTTGCAAAGGGAGTTGACTGCATCTTTCCCCCAGAGAATAGATAATGCCTACCATCCTTCTAGTTTAAGTCATGTGTTTGGATGCTGCACCACCAGAACACGTTCCCATTAAAATAAACAAAACAAAACAGAGTTCGAAAAGGACAAATATTACATGATGCCACTGTTGTAGAATGGGACTGTCCTTGGGGTTGGGGAGAGACTGAGTAAGATGGGTTCAATAATGTATACTGCACTGAAACAGAGGAGGGAGAGAACCGTTTAAAAGAGAGATGTAACTGGGTATTTCTGTCTTCACAGGAGACTAGAGCGAGGGCTGCATGGTGAAGGGGACCTGGGGGAGGGTTTGTAAAACAATGAAAGAATCTTTTCTTTTACTTTTCCATAATTTTTGGACTCATGTACTTATAACTTGTTAGTCAAATTTGTGTCTTCTAGGTTGCAACACCCCCATGATACATCTTCAAGGATATGTACATGTACAGCCAAACACTATCAATAAGAGTGCATCTGAATTCCAAAATCAATCTTCATAATAGTCTATGTGTTTCCTACTGCCAAAGGGGCCCTTTAGAGTAGTGAGAGAAGATCTTCACCCTGAAACCCACAGTGTCCCTTTTCAGCAGGAAGTAGCTAAGAGAATACGCCGTCCCCTTTTCCTTATGACTCAGGGTGAAGTCTCTCTCAGGGAGGAGTTTTAGGGAATGGCAAAGGATACACTGACAAAGAAGATTAATCAGAACTGGCTTTGACAAGCACTGTGGCATTTGGACAAGAACAAACTGGGAGGAAGGTAGAGAGAATAGTGCAACAATGAATGAGTGGAAGCCCAAAATCTCTGTAAATGCTTATGAAAATTAATAAAATATAATTATAGAAAAAAAAACAAAACAAAACAGAGTTCGAATAAATAAAAGCTATCCAAAAGAAAGGAAGAAGTAAAACTATCCCTATTTACAGATAACAAGGTCCTCCAGAAAATTTCTTCAACCAATCAATTAAAAAAATTCAACAATAATGTAGAGTAGATCGACTCATAAAAATTGGTTGAGTTCTGCTACACTAAAAAAGAGTGCCTTGAAAAAGAAACCAGGAAAGAAATACCATTTACAGAAGCCCCAAGTCAATAGAATTTCCATGAATTAACATAACTGAAGATATAACTGACTTCTAAAAGGAAAACTATAAAACACTTCCTTCTACAAGATCTATTAAAATACAACTAGGACTCTTGGATTGGAAGTCTTAATACATTGAAAATTTAAATTCTACCTAAAGCGATCTACAGGCACAATGTGATCCCAATATAAATTACAACTGGTATGTTTTAATGAAATAAAAAACTAATGGCCAACTTCATATAGATAGGAAAGAAACCCCAAATAGTTTAAGTAATATGGATGAAAAAGAGCAAAGCAATAGGCTTAATGGTCATTGATAACAAAGCACACTTACACAGACCCCAAATTTCCTAAAGAGCAATGGTTTGAATCCACTGGTTGCTCTACAGGAACAAGATGAAAGATCTTTTCCCCTTGAAGATGTAGAACCTTGTAAATGTGATAGATGGTTGCTGTAAGTTGGAACTGACTTGAGGCAGTGAGTTAGTGGGTAAGATGGCAACAGCTCTGACAGAGACCACAACAAACATAGAAAACAAGTGCTTGCACACATATCGATTAATCTATAAGTAAATGAATAGGTACAGGAATATACAGAGCTGAGAATACATTAA